TTGGTTTCAAAACAACTTTAGTTTTAGGAAACGGAATGAGAAGCACGTACTTTCTAAGTATGGGAGAGCAAATCAGAGAGGGCGTATTTTGTCACAAAAAAAATTCAAAAGGTAATTGCAGTGTTTAATCTTAAGAAGGACTGGCGTATTGAAAAACCTCGATGAGCATTGTTTTGGTTAGAGAGCTTCAAGAAAAAACATTTTACCAAATTCTCATAGAACTGTGTAGCAATTGAAAATACCACGTCTTGGAGCAACCAGCTCTTTTCTTGTTCTTTCTTCGAGATTTTTCTTTCTAAAGAGTAGGAGAGGTACTGGATATTTCGAAACAACAAATCACCTCATTTACATCAGGCTTCTACACTGGGACTGCTTCCTCTGATACTTCGGCTTGAGTAGAGTGGCACTGTATATTATCAGGGTTACTGTCTTAGTCCTATACTGGATAACTAGTGTTACAATGTATCATATCAGACCTCAGTTGTGATAGCAACTTATTCGGATACTATTGGAGAATCTCTGAATGGCTCGTCGTCGATTGGAGACTTCATTTCGTCTTCAGGAATACACTCAGGAACTCCTCTCTTGAGGCAAGCTCAGCAGGTTCTGAACGTCTTCTTCCGAGATCACGCTAGAGACAGAATCTGAATAAGCAGCTATAAGGACAGAATGAAAGTATTAGAAACTTGAGCAGCAGATAAGAAATTTAATTCAACTTCAACGATGACGGTCTTCGCAGGAGAAGATGAGTTGCTGCTCTCATCATTACCATATGGAATGCTATCATAAGCCTAAAAGTACAGATCAAAGTTAGAAAACAAAGTTAAAACGTACAGATTCATCCTGTTGTGGTCAAACACGTGTGTTATTGGAAGTCAGTGGCTGGGTAATAACAGTAATAGTACTTTCACGTTTCAGAGTCAACAAAGACATCCCGTCTCCCCATTCTTGTAGAGCTTCAAGATTCTCAGAAACTGCATTCACGTCGGCAGGCGAAACAAATGTCTCAGAAACATATTCATCCTGAATGTATGAAAGTGTAGCTAACTTTATTAGTGTTTTGAGCTTTTGTTCGATTAAATTAGAAATTTGTTCAACGAAAACTGCGAACCTCTTGTTCTGGCTCTTGGTCTTGGCTGGTGAAGCTGCGATGATGACTTGGTCAACAACTTCTATTGCTTCAGGTATAATAGGCTCGAAAATTTGGACAGCATCGGCCACTTTAGCTTCGGCGGAAATATCTTCCGATTCAGAGACGGAATCTTGTAGTTTTTTGACAATATCCACTTTGGGTTACGTACCTTCCTCCTCAGTTTCAGAGGAAATAGCTGGCTTGGGTTTAGCTTTTCGGGTCCACGGTTTCGAGTCGTTCAGATAGAACGGAAAGCTCATCTCTCTACCAAAAGAGTTGCGATCTCATTACGGCTAGAACAGAGAATGATTTCGTGGGTTCTGCGAGGAGTTCTTTCGGTTAGAGCAGGATCTTCAATAAGACTCTCATGTCTCTGTATAAAGGAAGTTCATTGGATGAATGTGTTATTATTGCTGCTCCAACTTCGCACCCAGCACCCAATCAACCAAATTCCAATAATTTTTTCGTTTTTTCTTATTGGATTCATCAACATGAGCTGAAGAACTGTGAAAGTTAGTCGATCCTGCAAGGAGTTCAATTATTAGGTTTTGAAAAAATGTGCACGGAATAAGAACAATGCGTAATAGAGGAGCAGAAGGTTGGAAAGCGAGTATCAATTCAGTTTTATTCATAATAACACTCCAATATTAACAAATACAAACATTTAAAGACTATTTCTGATTAATAAGAGATTTTAATAAACGAATAAGTATAGAGGTGAAATTAGAAAAAAAATAATTAAAAAATCCTGAATAGTTATTACTAAGTAATGCGAACTGAGTTCGCGTCAAATGTTTTTACATTTAGATACAAGTTAATGTATGTTCAGAACATGCATATGAAACAGAAAACTGACCACTAGTTTCGCTACGAAGGAAACATAAGACAGGCACTTTCTGACCAGCCTTCGCCGGTGTCCAACGCAGCATACATGGACGATTCACAACCATCATAATCTGAATATAAAGGGTTAACAAAAACAAAGGATAACTTGATTACAATAGTTTGGTGAACTTGCACAACTGGGAAGTGTATTCGAACGACAACTAGAAGTTTCGAAGCCTAACAACTGGGCGGGTGGTGTAAGAATGAATGGATTGCACACAGATTTAATGTCCGATATCTGAGAATCTACAGATAAATTGTACAACATGGAAGCATGATTGATGTCTCTGAAACATACGAAACGGTTTAGAAAGTATAAGAAACATCTTACTCATTCAGATTTAGTAAAGGAGGACCTCGAGATACCGAGGGTTTCGTTGACAAAGGAATCACTAACTGTCTTGAGCGTTTCATATTTTCTGGAAGATGGTTTGGCTGGTTTTTCTTTAGAAATCTTACCTTCCTTATCAAAGCTATTGTATTCGCTATCAGATTCCGAAACGAATGAAGAAATAACACGAGGACGCTTGATTAACTATTGAAATAGAAGTAAGATGAATGAATACCTTTATTCTCCTGGATCGAGACACCGGCGTGTACGTAATCCTACCCGATTTCAAATAATGTAAAACGTCCCAATGACCATATCTCATTGCTATTTGGAAAGGAGTCAAGTCTGAATGAAGTAAAGCTCGATAATTAATATTTCTGATTCACAATCAATTACCATCGCCATCAACAATTGATAAATCCGCATTGCAACTCAATAAGGTTCTCACAGAATCGAGGTGCCCATGCTTACTAGCCAAATGGAGCGGTGTATCGCCTTTCCCATCTCTGATAGAAGGATTAGAGCCATATGCGACTAAATAATGAATCAGATTGTGCAAGTTATTTAAGGCAGCATAATGAACAGCATTTCGTCCCTGAAAGATGTGTGAAGAAAATGATTTGTGCGAAAAACATACGTAGTCGTCACACAACGACCATGCAGCTCCAAATTCTCCTGAGAGCGGAAGAAGAGTTCTTCTGAATTTGAATCAATGAAAACTAGTCGGAAAGGTTTGCTCACCTGGACGATCCATAAGCTGAATCAGAACTGTCACATCCTGATGATTCACTATTGAAACGTCTTTTTTCCATGGCATGAATTAGTAACGCATAACAGTCTAACTGAGGATGGCCGATTTTAGCTGCATAGACAAGTGGAATTTGACCTTGTCCATTAGTTTCGAAAACCTAGAAACCAAGATCAGAAATAAATGAAGGTTCTTACATCGAATTCTCCGCTATCCAGAAGTAACTTGAGCATATTTGAGTCATTGTTCCCTATTGCATGATGAAGAACACCCAAACCTTGGCTGTCAACCTGAAAAAAAGTTTAACAGTAACACAACCTGCACCTAACTGAATCTATGATTGTGTCGACACTTGTGATCATCTTAGAAACAGCTTCAATGTCACATCGCCTAACAGCACGAATAAGTACAGGCTCTTCTGAATAATTTTGAACTTAATAAGCAATAGATGATTCAAATACCATCTATAAGGAGATGAGTTTCATCAACGTTTTTGAAAGTAGTAGACGGGAACGGAGAGCATTCCTTCTTTATCGGAGTAGCTTCATACAAAGAGGGAGGGGAAAAGGATGTAAAATTCTCTGAAAAAGAGATTGTAAGCACACTCAAAATGCATCTCCTACCATTTTTAAAAACTGGTGACTGTTTAGGAATTTTCCAAATAGGAGCAAAGCACTCCTTTTTTCTCTTCTGCTTCTTGATGTGAACAATGACAGTGTACAGTGCAATATACACGAGAGCTGCACATAACAGTCCAAAAACAAACCAGTAGATACGATGTCGCCACGATGGAGCCTAAGATAAAGCATTAATCGTGATCCTCATTGGTAGGTCTACCTGTCCGCGATAAACTTGAACATCAGTGATCCGAACAGATTTTCCCAATAATTCCAAACTTTCTGGTTTTCTAACTAACTCATTCTTCAAATATCTTGAAGCCGTTTTAACACTTAATAGATGTTAGAGATGAGATACCATTCAGCTTACAATACCTGTCGAAACAATTTGCTGTGTTCAAAGTAGAATTTAAAACGTTCTCGATTTTCTCCTTTCTCATAGAGCAATCGTTTGATGCAATATCGAAGAAAACAACCAATCTGACCAAAAAGATATGAGTGGTCCCAACAAGATTTAACAATACCTATTAGTATTATTAGAAACATCATCATTACTTCTTATGTTTATCCTGTTTCCGATGTCATCTAACGTTAGTGAGCCAGATCTCTCTGTTGACTTCCATTCATAAATCATTTCGCCTCTACTATCTGTTGCTACTCTGACGAAAGGAGAGAGGAGAAGCTGCGAAAAAATTACTGTTCAGAGAACATTCCAGTTTAGCTCACTCTAGCGATTGTAATCTGGAGGTCTCGGATGGTTTTGTTAATACTCTCACTTGTGGTGATGATGGTGATTGCCAAGAGTTGAGGATCCAACAAGTTGTCAGATTTCTGAAAACTTCTCCTAATTTAAGTCTTTAAACCGAACCATATACCAACCTCACAATCTCCTCCGTCGAAGCCACATTGAGGAGTATTGCAAGCTGGATCGCAGACTCCATTGGCAAAGTTTAAGTTACAGAAATCGTAATCAAAACATTTCTCCTTTTTAGCTCCGTTCTTCGACTCTTTGTATATACAATCCATACCATCATAGAAGCATTCTTCCCGAGCACATTCTACATCGCATTTTCCATCACTATACGAGGAAATACAGAAATCCACCACGGATCCAGAGAGCGAACACCCTGAAAAAATTAGTAGCTCACAGTTTTTCACGATTGGACTTACTGCTGAAATATTTTCGTGAGGGAACGGCATGATTACACTGCCGACCAGCCCATCCGTCTGAGCAAGCACAGAATCCATCTTGACAAACGCCATTATAACAACGTTGAGCCTCATCCTAAAAATATCAATTACGATAAAGAACGATAGACATATAAAATACGTTTAGTGTTCCACAACTATCTATGTAATCACATTTTTGACCTGTGAAACCTGGAGGACAATCACACTTGTATCCCCTGAAAGTGCTGCAGGTAAAACAGCAATAAAAAGAACAAACCAGTCTTTAACATTTTTGGGGAACAAGTTGATGCAGTTCCCATTCACACATTGAGCTTGTTCACATTCATTAACGTCAAAATTGCAGTGCTCACCCTGTTAACTTCAAATAAAAAGGTAATAGAAGAAAACAAACTTGGAACTTTTCGTCACAATCACAACGATATCCTTTTTGAGATGAAGAGTCAATCACGCATGTGCCAAATTCACAAAGATTCGCAGTGCAATGCGAAGAATTCCTTATTAAGTTAGCTGTAACGATTTGAAATTAACTCGACAACGACGGATTCTAACCTTTAACAGAAGTTACGGAGAGCAGAAATAAGAGAAGCAATCTGATCTCCATTTCGTGAAAAGAAGTTTGCATACAAGTAGTTGGTGATGTCTTAGCAGGCTATATTAAATTTTTATTACTGCCAGTTATTGATATTCGATGTGTGTCCGTTTGTTCTGGAAATAAGTTATAAATTAATAAACAAAAAAAAGGAAATTAATTGAGAGCACAGCAGAGCAACCAGTCAACAGCCTCGTCGTAACACGAATGGAAGTAAACTCAAAAAAGGGTGAGTATGAAAATGGAAAGTATAGAAGTTCGCATTAACCATTTATGCTAATTAAAAAAACACGGGTACATGCGTATTCAAAACCTAACTGTACTCATCGCTAATTCGAAATCGTAGCTCCGTTGTGCAGAGATTTAACAATAGAGCATGGGAAAAGTACAGTACTACAATGAAATTCCGAAGGGAGCGTGGGATTTGCTTACTTTAGTAATTATGTTTGTATTTTCGGTATTCCCAATCACACCGTGAGTTTTGGATGCTCTAAAGTTAAGGAAGTATGAAGGGTAAAAGCCCTCGCACAGCGTTTGGAAATTATTTATAATCCTGTGGCAGTTGTAAATGTCCTTTACAACTTTATTGCATTGGATATTTATTTTTTCAAACTTCTTTACCTCATCATAATGACCTGGGAGGGCTTTCATATTCGTTTGTTTATTAAAGCAATGTGATCAGAGGGCTTCCCGACATAAATTGTTTCCAATGAGCATATTGAGGCGCAAAATGTATAATATAATATATTGTATGTTATACGGGATGTATCATCATGGCTATATATTGGAAATCACAGAAAGCAAAAAAAATATAATTTATCGAATAAAGCTAAGCATATTTACATTCAGCAACTCTAAGCCCCTTCATGGAGTAGTCGGAGCTTGCTGTGTTTTCGTTTCATCCTGTATCGCCTGTAAAGGATATTCTTTATGAAAACATCATTTAGTTATCAAATCTAACCACTTTCAAGTAGTTCGCCGAAGCTACTGCTTGCTCATAAGTTGGTAAGGCTGTAGGAGATGTTTTACAGCAGACGTCATAAGGAGGCGGATTGGGACAAACTTCTGGCTCTTGAGAGGTAGATTCCACAGTCTCAAATAACAGTGTGTTAAGAAAGTAGTGGAAAAATTACTTCTAGGACGATCTTAAAAGTTGTAAACAACATACCTCCTGCGAATTTCCAATGTATTTTGAAAATGTCCGAACATATAAAGCAAAAGCTACTCCTATGAATATACTTGTAGCCGCGACCGCTATTGTGTAAGCTGTGAACGATTTCGTCTGGAATCAAGAAGAAATCTTCCTTTATAGCGGCTTTCTTCTATCCCTTTTTCAATACTCAGAAGAAGGTGTCTAATGAGAAAAAAGAAAAACCTTGATGTTTGGTGAGTTCGGAAATCCCACTAAAAACAAAAAAATGAAGAAGACAATAACAATGCGTTTCGTTGAGTACATTCCACCATTTGCCTCATTTGCCATCTGATCCGAAACTTGAACCCGGAAAATATGTAACTACTCATGGAAGTTGGAAGAGCACGGAAATACGGAAAAATGTAATGAAGAAGAAAACAAATGAAAGAATATGCAACGAACGCTCTATTGGAAAGTCTTCACTTGTAATATTGTGTGTGGGATTGATTGACTAAGACTATCCAGTCTACATGACCATCATCATATGTTCTGATTTTTCGATATGATGATAGTTGTTGATGATAAGGATGAGTAAGAGAAACAAATTCAGAAGAAATATAGAGCTTAGTGAAGACGGAGTGTGAGAGAAAGAAAAAAATTAAGTTGAAAAAGACATTGAACATATCTAATTTGTCTTACATTTCTTTCCGTAAAAGACAGCGGTCAGGGGTCTTCACGTGAGAATGCAGAAGTAAGAGTAGCATGAAAAACAGCTCAAAACGCTTCTCTAACGAAAGTAAATGGAAGTTGTAAGAAGAGAAACAAAGTAAGCAGAATCTGGCTATGAAATGATTAAAAAACTGTTAGAATAATCTGATGGAAAGGAAAGATGACTAAGACGATAATGGTTGCAAACTAGCATACAAGAGAATCTCTTGACATCAAAATCTCGCCTTCTACGAGTTATCTATTAAGCACTTCACGAAAATAGTTATAACTCTAATTTCCTAGTACATGATCTCTTTTGTTACAAAAAAAAGAAGCGAAAGGGGATTGTCTGTTCTTCAAAACAGGTCGTTCGTTCGTTGTTTTTTTATTTTTTATGAATTTTCATAAAAATAATTATTGGTTAAAGGTCAACAAATCAATATTCTTTCTTTACATCAGATGCACACTGTGCACTTTGCATCCAAGCGAGGTTACGTGTGAAGACATGTCTTCAGACGGTGATGACTGTATAGAAGGTTATGTTGTTGAAAGTGTGATAAAGTAAGCTAGAACTAACATCTTTATTCTAATACAAAAGAGTATAACAAATCTATTCTGCGTACTCACATATCCAATGACGAGGTAACATAAAGTCTGATATAGTTCCCGAATATGGTAAACAGGTCTCTCGAGCATACCACTCTTGTCCATAGAAAGCAACAAACATACCAGTTCCTTAAAATATTTCAGCAAATCAATCTAATTTTTTATTCTCTTCGAGTTGCAAAATACAGCAAAAACTCTTCTCTTACCAATAAGTAGATTGAACCAAAGGGCGGTATTCCAAGCTGCCTTGCTCTTGATCAATCGTGAGACAGAAAAGAATGTTCCTGAAGTTGAAAGAATAAGTTGAAAGAGAAATGTGACACATACCGCCGAAAACAAAATAAAGCATGAACATAACGGGATAGAATACACGGAAAGCTACTCCGAACCAATACTCGTGGAAAATGGCAGATAAGAAAAAGACACACATCTGCGCAACCCTCAGTCCTCTTCTTCCTCCAATCAACTATAATACGATGGTTATGATTGAATGTTTCTGTCTATGTGCATACCATCGATACATCTTTATATACATATGCATACAACCAGTCGTGAACAACCAAATTCCAATTTCGGTAATATTCAGCCATATTATCTGAGCACCACCAGTTCTTAAAGAAAGTTTGTTGAACTGAATGAATAAAAGCATGTACCAAGTAGAACTGTCGATCTGCGAACATCATCATCTCAGAGAAAGCATTCAACCAGCAGTGAAGTAAACCATAGAACAAGCTTAACAAGCATATGATTCCAGGTAGGATAGCAGCGAACAAAGTCAGAAACCCTTCAGTAATGCTGATGTACTCCATCTGAAATGTTCACAGTCATTTGTAACCCTGAGCACAATTCACATTCAAATCACTGAGCCATGGCTGTACATATTGAGTGAAAGCTAAATTGACATATTCGATGACCAAAAAACATTGTGCGAAGTAGAAAGCGACAGTTTTCCAACTCCTCGTTTCAGATCTTAAACATGGAGATTGTTTCAGAAAAGACATATCACTACCTGGGATATTCGTCTCTATACAAGAATGATGGACAGAATTGAAAGTATACAAACTGGGAAATAGATGGGAAAACAAACTCATTTTCTTTCTGAAACTCTTATAATTAGTTTTCTGTCTTAGGACCTACATGCTCATTCAGTTTCATCTTTGCATCTGCCACTCTAGGATAATTCTCTCTTATGAAGGAGTGGAGTTTCATAGCAATTCTAGTCTAAAGAAGGTATCCATATAAGACTAACAAATGGTGTTTTCTTACAGTTTCACAAGTAATTATGAAAGAACATGCGCACTTCAGTTCCCAACTGAACAGAAACTTCAAAGGAAAATAGAAGAACGCCACGAAGTAAACCGTATAAGCAGCAAGCAAGCAGTAGCCCTAAGTTGAAAAAAAGACTCAAAGATAAAACAAGATAACGAACTAACTTGAGCTTGAACCTGCTGTCTTGAAGCTGGAAGCTTTGACCAGACTTCTAAAGCTTTAAAAGGAACGTATGTAGTCAGAGAAAGGATAGTCCACACAAGCATAGTTTCTCCGAAGTATTGGAAGTTCCACCAAATAAGCCATGTATGATGAAAAGGCCTCAAAAATATTCACTACACTTCTGTCTTTGATTGTGAACTAACATTTTGTGAACGAAGATGTCGTCAACCATAGCTCGAAGGAAAAAAAGCACAAAAATGGCAATGAAGAAGTTAAAAGCTATAGACATTTGTTCCTCTCTCAGAAGTGTTCTGAAACCAAGATTGTCTGAAGGAGAAAGAGTGTGGACCTACGTGAGCAATGACTCCCGTTCTATGAATACTTTTTCTTTGAACTCTTTTGCTGCTTTCGTAGATTCATTGTGTTTTCGAATATAATTATTATTTATTATTTTATTATTATTACATTCATCCGTCTCTGAGAGACGATTGCGGAGCTCCATGTAGGTTTACCTTAAACGTCAGTTATTTAAAACACATCCTAAGTATGTGAAAAGAGTTTTAAAATGAGAATATGGGACAACTTTTGCAATTGTGGGGTGAAATTCACTGACCGCAACCGCAATTCAGCAGAAAGGTCAGGGGAAGTTTGTATGTTGAAAGGGATAAATCTGCTGTGTGTGGAAGAGGAAAAGTTTGGAGCGAAGAATCATTACAACTAGCTAATAAGGAAAACACTTAAACATGAACGAAGAGAAGTAAGATCTCTCCAACTGATCAAAGCCAATCGAAAACAAACTGGATTCATGAAGTCCGATTGAAAAGTTATCTCGGATTTTGAAATTCGTACTTCTTCAGTCAGTTATAATTCATGAAAAGAACAAAAATGTATATTTGACATATAATTTTCATCAGAAGATTGAGAGGAGAAGACGAATGAAAACGACAAATGTGTCTGACCATTATTTAGGTCAACAAGGAGAGAAATTTCTACGTAAAGGGAAAGCAGAACGCCTGTGGCTATGATCACAATGACAGGCAGAAGAACATTCCTCGAGAGAATTGGATCACAGATTTAATTGAAAGCGAAATTCATTTAGGTTACAACGTTTTAAAATATCTATTTTTTGTTTATATGTTCACCTCTGAGCGCAATCAAGAGCAGTGACGTCACGGTAACTTGTTCCTGTAATACTTTAAGAAGAATCAAGAGACTCTTGTAGTTTTCAATGGCTGTTTTCCAGTACACCTTATGACAAATGTAAAAGTTACAAATACGTACGAGTCTATCTTCTGATTGTATGAGTATAGTTCTTTCTTCTCAAAATATTTTAGCTCGTCAGACTTCAAACTCCTCCTTATACTGTCTTGGACTGTGCCAGATTTCTGAGCTTCACGTTTACAAAATAGCCATATTTCCTGGGGTAATAAAAATGAATGCTCCTTCATAGTTTGTAGATTAGTAAGAGAACTCCACTAGAGTACATACATCCCTGTATTCAATCTCTGGAAACGTAGTTCATATCAGGCCTCCAGATGATCGTCGAGAAATTCCCTTGCCGGAGTGTTCTCACAGATATGTACGAAAAAGGTTTTTTGATTTTTGGAAACTGTTCTGAGGAATTGAAAAACATGTCCTAAAGTACAAATAATTGAGAAAAGCGTTTCACTTTCCTATTTATCAGCAGCTTCTTTGGACAAACATGGAATCCAATCGTCTTCGCGTTATACTCGGGTCACTTCTAAATGTGGAGATCTGTGCTGCTCTTCTCTGCAACCTAATATGTTTATATTGTGTAAAAAAGTTTTTCTTTTCGATAAAATCTTAATCATAGTTAACTTCAAGAGGCAATTTGCATAAATTAAAAGATAATCCTGTTTATCTTATCACAGGAGTCAACATGATCTGCGACGTTTGTCAGCTATTTGTGAACTTGCTCTATGTTGGACCATCAATCCTTTTGGGAGTAGTTTTTCTTCTCTTATTAGATGACTATTACTAACATTCTAGAGTTGGATCTTTGCTGAAGAAGAGAACGCTCTTGAAGTATCCTTCATTGGTACATACTTAATTGAATTTTGGTATTTTGAAACATTACTTCAGATTTTGTTGGCTGTCAACAGGTACTCTACACTACAATTTTGATCGTTTGAGCTCCTCTTTAGGCTGTGCGTCATAGTCTTTCCCAAGAATGTTTTTTTCTCTACCAAACGTGTGAAAATAATTATGTTATGTTTGTTTATCGTTTCCTTACTCACAACGGCAAGCTCCCAATACATCCTACCATGTTGCCGGTACTGCCAAACTTGTGAATCTGAGCTATCCTGATTAAGATATATTCCAAATCCCACAGTTTATGGATATTCCTTTTTCAATTATACTGTTGACAAAGTAAACTTGACTGGCTATATAATTGCTTTACCATACGGAATAATCTGTAACGTAGTCGGTCTCGTTTCATATGTAATGGTGGGCTTGCAAATCATCATCCCAAAAACATATATTACAGCTCTTTCTGCATATTCATAATCTTAAAAAACAGATTACTTCTCATATCACCATAAAGGAAATAAAGTGAGTCGTATTCTCTCTTATGTTCAAACCTACTTCTTCAAGAATAAGCATACAATGCTCTTTGATGTTTCTAACTTATTTTATATCATGGGCTTCCTTTCACATCTTCCCTCTCATAGATGTCAAACGACCCGAGGTCTACATAACAACCACTTTCGTTTTAATCGCGAACTTTGGCGTTAACTCTTTCATTTATCTCGCTCTCAACAAAGATGTTCATATCCCTCCCGTTTCTGAGCTACTCTATACTTTTCAGATACATCGTGAAATCAAGAATGCTTTCGGATATAAGCTTATGACCAATACCAGTTTTAACACTTCGACCATTATACCCAAAAATCCCGGACAAATCTGAGGAATTCCTATCTTATGCTAATTATCTCTGACGTAGTATTTTCCACGTAGTATACCTCATGATGCATTTTTAAAAAACTTGTGGATGAAGAACGGTTGTGTACAAGCGAAGCATTGACTGTAAAACGTTCGTTTCACTTGTTTTCCAGCATACGTTCAACAATTTATATTCAAATTCATACCCATTTCTGTTACAAAATAGTTATTTGATAAAACAAAACGTTACACTCAATTGAGAAGAGTACAATGCTGTGGAGTTCTTCCTTGCTTTACAATAACCGAAGGGCTTAACAATACAAAAGATTGTAGTAAAACAAAAGTCCTTTGCTGTAGCATATTGTTAAGTTATTCAGCAACCAATGCAGAAGATAAGACTATTTTTGGGTTTCCTTCTGAATGTTGAAATTTGGACAATTCTTATAACCAACATTTTATGTTTATTCTGTATTATCAAGTAAGTTATAAGAGATTCTAATGATTCTTCTCTATTGACAGAGGCAAGCTATACACTCCTAATGGTAACCCTGTTTATCTTATTACAAGTTATAACTTATTTGTTGATACTGCTCAGCTTTTTTTTCAAGCTTTCTATGTTGGGCCTTCAGTTATCACTGGAGTCTACCTTTTGTTTCTATTTGATGTACATAATCTCTTTGTAGACCCTTTTCTTCGAAAGTCCAGAAAACTATGTCGTTATTACTGTTGGCTCTTTTGTTTTTGGCTTATGGATTTTGGGCAGTCTCATCCAAATCTTAATGGCTATCAACCGGTAACAAGTCTTCACTAGTATCAACCTTCCTCTCAGAGTATTCGTGGCAATCTCTCCAAAAACGAAGGCGTTCAATAGAGAGAGGATAATTATATACTTGGTTCTGGTTAACATATGTGGCCTCATCCTTATCCTTTGGTCTCAGATATTCGCTCCATGTTGTCGGTAGAACTTTTGATTTCTACATGCTCTTCAGTTGTTCATTTATACAGCGTTCTACCAGATCCCAAGTACTATGGTTACTCATATGCAGAGATGCCGGGAAAGTATAATGTGGCTTTCATCACTGTAGATTTGCCATTGAATGTAATCACAACTTTAATAGGAACAATATCTTACGTCACTGTAATTGGCATCATTACTTTTCCAACTTATCAAATCCTTCAGATGTTCATGTATGTTTATAAAATGCAAAGAAAAGCCCAAGTACAAGCTCCGCTGACTATGAAGGAAGTTCGGTGAGAAAAGTATCAGAATAATAAGTTTTCATTTCAAATTTCAGGATTTGTTTTCATTTCTTTCTGATGTTCATAACCTATCTATGTACTTGGCTTTCCTTTTTTTTCTTTCCTCGTATAGGAATAAAACAAACTGAGCTATATCTTATAACCACAGTAATGTTGACAGGAAATTGCGGCATGAACTCGCTCATTTATATATTTCTTAATAAAAATGTTAATCCCTCCATGATTAGCATAATTTAAATTGTTGTGTATTCAGATCAATAAGCAACTGCGTTCATTGACTTTCGTCTTACTGTGTCAAAAACCCGTATGTCACAATAGGTAAGAGACGTTTAAATTGTTCGCAGTCTCACAAATAGTGTTGAAGCTTCATCGTCGCCAAAACGATAACACCAGATCCGAAGAAGAACTCAGAGTTGCATGCCAAGACGAACAACTCACCAAACAAATAAAAATAATTTATTAGAATTCTGTAAATACAACTAATATTTGATTGAAATGCCAGACTGTATCATTTATATAATTTGTTGGAAGAAAACATAAAAAGAAAACAAAAACATAATAATCAAAGAATGTTTCATTAACAGTATCCACCATATGTCTATATGGAATGGAAAGTAGCCAACAAAAAAAAACATAAAATATTCTTTTCTCTTTGAAAATCAATAGAATCTCCAATCTCTTAGTAAAGTTTCTCAAAAAAAAAAGTTTTTTTTTTAATTTGAATATGTTTTTGGGAAGAAACAGGCAATTCAAGGATTAATGGAACTTCAGAAGATTTAAGCTGAGGAGCACTTGAATGAGCAAAATTGGTTTTTTCTCCAAAAAAAACAGAACGAAAACCATTTGATACATTTTAAAATCATTTTTTGAAAGATTTAAGAAAGCTTGATTGATTCTAAAGAACAGCAACCATTCGTTATCTCTGCGTTGTAATAGATGACGTGAACATGCAACGCAGAATTCACGTGAGTTCACGGAAAGCGTTTAGCGGATGGCTTATGCTAATTTACGTTGTTGAGATATCATAATAGATGAAAACGATTGAAAATGACAGATATAACCCGATGTATAAAATATGAGAAGAGAGGGAAGGAGAGAGAGCTGAGAAGAGAAAATGATAGAAACGAACAGAGGAAGAGGAAAGAAAATTGGCATTCGATGCACGAAATGGATCTTATCGCCAGACCTTTTCAGCAACTTTTTCGAAATTTGTTCTAGAAATTTGTAAAAACCCCATAAATCTCATTGGAAGCTAGCTGAGGCCAAATAAAGGCAAAATAGTTCTAGTATTGGTTGAATATGTTGATTGTTAATGTAATTTGGAACATCTTGCCCTCAAAGCCAATCTCGGGTTCAATCAACAAATCTCGTAAAGTAAGATTGTATGTGAATTAAAAAAGGATTCAATCAATTATCTATAAATAGGAATTGAATCCAATATCTCGGTATTCCTGACGCCGGCGAAAGAAGCAGCAACATGAAATTATATTGAGGAAGCTATTACGATAAGAGCTATTTATAAACATGTAAATTAAAAATTTAGAAGATGGACCAGATATGGCAAGCCAGCAGAAGATGAAAGTTACCTGAAAACGTAAAATCATTCAAAGTACCATTGAGGAGAGCGTTGCAAACAGTGGTTTGAAGCGCATAAGCTTCATCTCAGAGTATTAAGGAAGAATAACCAAAAGAGGGGAGAATGGTAGAAGAGAAAATACTTACCAGAGAGAGATCCGTGTCTGGTTGTGGTGGCACAATATATTCGAAAACTTTCAAGCATAGCAAAGGCATCCAGGACATAACGAAGGCAACTAAGAGAAACATTGTGAGCACAAAATTCGGATCTGTTTCGATGACCATTCTCTGGCTATCCTCCAACTGAAAAAAGAGAAATTGAATATGAGAGAGCGAGGCCGTCTTTGAAAGTACTTCATCGGGATAGCGCATAGCTTTCATAATTTTATATCCTGTATTGAAAACTGTGACTAGAGTAGGAAGAAAGACGAGTAATATTATAGTTAAACTGTAAGCTGAAGTTGCCGTCCAATCCAAAACACAGAGCTGGGCGTCTTCATAGAAAATAACCTGAATGCGTTGCTTTACTAAATGATGAGCTGAACATTTGAAACCTGCATTTGAGCTACAACTATCGGACAACATAAGAGTAGAGAAGTTATCCAACTGAAGACAATCCAGCATTTACATCTTGTTAGAGATTGATCAGCATACCGAGATGGTTTCATCATAGCCGAATATCTGAGAGGGAAGAGTGTTAAGAATAGGACTTAGCATATTTTATTTTTCTGCCTATTTCTGAGTAACCTTAAGTCTTTCCCTTCCATATATGGCTTGAGACTACTTGGAAATGAGAAAAAGGAAAGAATGAGGAATGATTCACAGCTTAGAACCTAATTAGGATTAAGGAAAAGCTGATGGAAAGGCTTATGTAAGTTGAAGGGAAGCAGACATTTTTCTACAAAACAAGCATGAAATTCCATGTTCAATTTTTTTTTCATTACAGATACTCTTCTTGAGCGAAGAAAAACAGAGTTTCTCTCTCAAGACACTTCATTCAAAAATAAATGATTTGCTTAAGATTAGATTGAAGCTTTCACACAAAATATTTGAGCACTTTTGATTTGTGCCTCAAGGGGGTAAAATGATGTCATGTGTGTCCTTTTTTGGGATAAAATATAACATTGAAATTCTCATCTTAGAGCTTTCATTTAAACCGAAAATAAGTTCATAAACTATTCCTATAAAGAATGGTTTGCTAAAAACCCAAAATAACTTTGAACACTTTTCTCTGTAATAGTTCCTTCACTATACAAGAACTTCATGTTCACAATAATTGCTGTGACTGGTGTGATGCATAATGACGTCAGAAGTGTCATGCTTTCTCATGTTTTTTGTGCGAAAAAGGAAAATTCAAATGAAAACATGTGTTTCCCCACTTATGAAAGCACATTCATGAAAGTTTCAGCTTGCTTTAAGACTCTGAGAACATATTTTTGACTTTGCTATGGGAAAGTTTGGTGACGAGATAAAGCAAACCTATCAACGCAGATCCAGGCAAACGTGTAGACAGTGGAACAAAACAAAGCAACTTGAAGATATGTTGAACCCTTACATAATAAAGTATTATCTCCTAAAAAGATTTGATTAGTCAGGAAAAGTGGTAAGGAGCTACCTGAGAATCTCCATTCACTATCAAGAGTGGAATAAAGGCTGAGTGGGATGATGAACAGAGCTGATAGTAAATCTGCGACTGATAGTGAGATCTGCAATACACCTATTATTTCTCCTACTTTTAGCGGCCAAATGTTCTTTTATGAAAATCTTATTGTTTGAATTAGATGAAACAAAACACATGTAACTTGATCTTCAAATATATCATAGTTCCCGCAATATAGTTAACATATTACTATATACTACACGGGTTTTTGAAAATTTTTCTTTTCTTTGCATATTTACGTTTGATTTCCAAAATTTTAATGACGTTTACAAATGTTTTGCCTTTTCCTTCCGTTGCCATGGAGATGGATAAGCTTGCTCTCTCTCATTTCTCTTCATATAATTCAAAAAATATACATTCGAAATACGTTTTTTGTCAGTATTTTACTCTTGAGCAAACCATATGAGAGCAAAGAGAGGAAACGCTCACCAGATAACAGCCTATAACATCGTAGAGTTCGGTTGTTGTGGATATTACGCAAATATTGAGCAACGAACTTCCGAGTAGCAAAACCTGGAAAGAAAAGGTGCTTCAGAACTGTTTATCCGAGAGTAATTTCACCTCGACAGCAACTATAACGGCAGCTTTTGCTAGAGCCTCGGATGTGAGGGATCTGCCGTCGACGAGATGCCACATTAAAGGAGACTGTCTTCTGAATCACACGGAACATCGAGCTTCTCCGTATGAGGCTAAGCTCCCACGGCTAGAGCCCCCGCAGTTGCTTATGCAGCCTAAACATAGAAGATGAATATGATAGCGGGAGAAGGTAGAATAGAGAAAAGCCATTTGAATAACATCAAACATTCAAAACTACACAGAGATTATAGAATTCTACCGTACGAAATGATAATAAATAAATTATAAGAATGGAAACCTGACAGATAGATGGAGAACATTCTCAAGAACTGAATTGCGGCGACAGCTTTTTTTCGGCAAGGAAAAGGAATGAATGAAGAAAAACGAAAGAACAGAGAGCTATAAAAGACCGCAAAAGGAAGAATGTTTAGGGACAGAGGGTCCTCATCTGACAGCTCGAGCTCACAGCTCTGAATGCTCAAAAACGTCGTCTTTCGGAAATCGGATACGCAATAGAAATGGCATTATTTTTCAAGAGAAAATCAAGAGCAAAGCATGGAAGAATGTGAATTAATGAAGAAGAGAAGGAAAAGCTGACTACATAGGTGTCAATGAGAGTTATAACAGTTGGAAAATAAATAAACCAAGATGGAAAGATAGAAGCTGCAAGCACTTGATATCCGCCATAATTAGATTTTTTCTCTATTCTAATTAACTGATAGATTTATTTAAGCCTCAGTGTTCGAAATGGAAATGACTTTAGACGATAATTTAAACTGCCGGCTTTTATGAAGCGGAAGACGACACAAGTGTCCCTCCGTTTCCATAGATCTCGGAAGAATTTTAAATGGCAAACAGCATCAGCAAATGGAGAAGAAATCAGGCGGAAACAAGTAAACCAGGATGACGAAGAAACGATAAATATAGAGAAATGAAAAGAAGCCTAAAAAGATAGAATTGAGTATAGATGAGGTTCATTCGGAACAGGCAAACGTGATTTCATGTTAGCCGAATGGAATTAGGGAGGTGAGATCATCTCTAACAAAGCTCTTCTTTAGATTGTATCCTCGACTCTTGCTCTACTGTATCATTTTAAAGGGAATAAACAGAGAGTAAGAAGGGAGAAAAAAACGAGAAAGAAAAATAGTTTCGTAGTGAATAATTGAAAAAGAAATTGCGAATAAGAGCTGAAGGAATAAATTAAGAGAAATACTTGAATGTGAGAGTTCAGCCTGGAAACAGAAATGAGTCGTGTTATTCATGCAAAACGGTTACACGGAAGAGAGAAAAACGCAACGAAATAAGCCTGTTCGTATGGATAAGAGATCAAAAATGAGGCTTCAACTTTGGACTTTTTCGTTGTTCCGTCGTTTGTAACTAAAAATTCAGTGCTTTCAACTATCCAATTCCTAATTTGTATAAGAGGTTATAAACCAAAGTGAAAACTAAACTAAGGAAGTTGAGAAAGTGAGAGTAACGAGTGAGTGTGGGCTTTTCCAAAAGAGAAACAGAAAGTAGAACAAGAAGGGAAGGCCGAACGAAAGAGAGGAGGTGGGGAAGGGAAGGGGTTGGGGGAAGAGACTGAGAAAGACGGGTTTCAGACCCGAGGGGCCTTAGCAATCTGGTCAGCAGGACCGGAAGCTTGGAGACGAAGCAGACAAGAACGAATAAGCAGAGAAATAGAGATAGTAAGCACTCCCTCGTTTTATCCTTCCTCTTTTTCTTTTTTCTCTTTCTCTACTCTCCTTTAATTTTTTGCTTTACATATCCTGCTTTTCGTTTCCAGCATTGCTCTGTTTCATCTCACAGTAAGAAAATGAAAGAAAAAAGAGAGAGAGGGAGAAATAAACACAAAATGAATATAGAAGAACAAATATTTTATTTATATTTTGCTTTTATGCGTCTTCCATGCTTCCTCTTACGTTTCACAAGAACGGGCACTCGATGTCACTTTGGATAACTCTACTCGGATTAGAAACACTAGCGAAATATTATTTCTGTCGAGCCTAAAGAATTTCATGCAAGAACTTAACGCGTAGTAAATAGCGGATCAACGGTCAAACGGGCAAACTAACAAAGAAAACATCCAAATACGGATGATGATAGCCAGAGACAAGGGAAGATAGAGAGAGGGTGGGAACCAGGAGTCGAATTGTTCCCTTAACGCCATCATTGTCATCTTGCCGTCGTCGTTGTCGACATCATTAGTTTTACTTCTGTGCCGACGATAGCCGACAGAGCAGGAGGAGTGGTCGGTTTGGTGAAGGCAAGCTTTGCTATTTAGCCACGCCTCTTCTGGAATCGATACTCTATCTCCTTTTCTTTTCATTTTTCTCTCCCTCTTAATATAACTTTATCTCTTATTTTTTGTTCAAAATTTGTCTCTCTATGTAGACAATGCTATTTTGGGAATATGTCTATTTTTCTATGTCAAGAAAAGAAGTGAGAGATGAAGAAAAGAAGACATATAGAGAGAAAAGAGGGTGAGGGTAGCAAAGGAAGCTGCCAATGAATCTGCTCGTGGTCTGACCTTTTTAGGTCTATCAATCATCTTCTCACTTTCAAACTAACTTTTGTCCGTGCAAATTGGTTATTCTGAACTACTTTGAAACGGGAACTTTGAACTCTATAAGAAAAGAGCTTCCACATTTATGAGAAAAATATGCATTTAGAGGTAGACAAATTGGCTCAAAATTTCGTTGTTTGAAACAAAAGCTGACTTTGTTTGAGAATAAATCTGAACTTCAAACTTCCTCGCGTAATAACCATTGAGGGAAAACAAAAATAAACTGATATGAGGAAAGAAAGGAAATGAGCGGTAAATACAAAACTTTGGGGCCAGAAAAAGAGAAATTTGAATCTTCACCAACAAGCCTCATATGGTTGAGCTAAGCCTTTGGAAGCTGGTGGTTTTGGGAGAATGGGTTTGTGAAGGTAAAAGCAGGGAAAATGTAAGAAAACAAGAAAAAGGCATTTTTATTAGAAAGTTATGGAAATATTTGGGAAAAATAAAGGAATAAATATGAGATTAAGGCCATATGCCATGTCATGCTAGGACGTTATTTGTTGAGAGTAAAAATGAAAACACAAAGTGGTATAGTTAATTAAAGAAAAGAGGAGAGAGGAGAAAAGTTTGAGTGATATCCAAATTGTTTAAATTTGTATTTATGAAGGCCATTGCCTTCTAGCCCAGAGAAGTACAAATGAAAATAGAGCAGTTTGACTCATGTACATATATGGATGTATGTATGTCTGCTTCTGCATTGCTGACTTGTTCTACTTCTCCAACTGCTGCTACTGCTACTGCTTCTACTAATGGTGATGTTGGTGGTATTGGTGGTGGTTGCGGTGCTTCTGCTTCTGCTCTTCCACAATGAGAGAAAGAGAGAAAGGAAGAGAGAGTATTCGATACAATGACTAATATGCACATCACGTCATTCGTTTTTATCTCATGGAATTGAGTTTTGAGAACAAAAATGACAAAAAATGCAAAAGAAGGAGTGAATTGCAAAAAGGGGTATTAGCCATGATAATAAAGATGATGAAAACGAAGTTTGAATTGAAAGTAAGCTTGAAGAAAGTTCAAACAATTACTAGTTAAGTCATCCAACTTTTTTTGTCGAAAGCCTCCTAAAAAGGATCTGAAAATAGAAAACTCAAAATGTTCTTTACTATTTCTTTTGAACGAAAAACGGGAACAGCAGTGATATGCACAATATTTAATGCGAAATGAAAGTCATTTTTACTTTTTCACTCTTCATATTAATAACTTAATAAAATTAGTTGTTAGGGTATTCAATTTCTTTTCCTTCTTCCAAATATTCGCGCCTAAGTATTTAATATGCTAATTTTAAGTAGGAACCCACGTGCACACATTCACTCTCACGCTTTTCATTTGATGAGGAAACAGACGAACAGAGCGGTTGTACATATTTTTTCTCCTTTTCATAACTACCATCGTTTCCATACGCATTATTTTTATTAATTAAAAATATTTTTTCCCAGCAGCTGTCTGAAAAATAGCATTTTCTATTAAAATAACGCAAATATTTAAAACAAAATTAAAAAACAAGGCGTTGAGGATATTTGATATTATTTCGGAAAAGGATGACGAGGTTAACGCTTCCAAAAGTCAAATCATCCAACAGCTCTTGTGAACTACGAGCATTAAAACTATTTATGGTAAATCAATAAATAGCCTCTAATTAGTTTAACGACCTGCCTTATGTGAATGCTTTTTCCTTCTTCTACTCCTCTTAACTATACAGGATAAATAAATAAGAGAGATTTATGAGATAGCGAAAACTAATTAACGAAAAAATTAGGAATTAGAATTCAAATGCAAACTAGCGAGTTGTTCAGGGAAATGCCGTGTTTTTGCATCAACCTCAAGTGCAATGTTTATGAAAGTAACAATAGAACTTAAGCAGTTATTTTTGAAGAGTTCTTTACATCCTCTCTCTCTCTCTATCTCTCTCTCTCTCTCTCTCCCTCGGACTTTCTTTCTGCCGCAAACATTTTTTTGGTTTCCTCACTCACTCTCGTCTCCATCCTGTGCTCTCTTATTCAGTAAGCTGTTTCTCTCTAAATCGAGAGTATTCAATATCTTGATTTCATAATATTCTATATAAACATAAGTTGAATCATTAATTTGCTCCCTGCATGGCTTCCAAACGAGAAATTAAGACACATATTGATTATATGAAAAGAATGCCAGTAAAGCCTTTCTGTGATTGATTTTAGCAGAACAATGAATGGATTATTCCTTCAATTATTGTTGTCCGAAAGGACAAAGTAATAGGAGAAGCTTTAAAAAATGTTTTTTCGTGAAAAAATCGAGCAAAGAAATGATCGGGGAAGGCATATATTTGGAAGTTGACAAAGAGCTACGAAACAGAAAGCTTCCGAATATGGGATAGAAAGAAGCCTGATGCTTGCTTTTACCTAATTGCCACCATAGCACATCACGTCATCGGATTAGTACGCATAAGTCAGGAACACAAAGTGAATAGACATACTTACTCCAGAACAAGAGAAAGTTTGGAAGGCGCATCTTCCACATGTCCCACAACTCAGGACAATTGTTAGAGCAAAATGGCTAATTGTCTTGACTGAATTAGGTTTTATGGAAGTCAAAATTATCAGCAAAAAGATTGCAATAATTTATTTTCTACAAAATATACAAATCGCTCTTTGAGTTCTTACATAAAAAATTTATAAATTACGCACATGCCTATAATTTTGCATCAAATGAATTGTTGTCTCAAGACTTGTCGAAAACTTTTCTAGCATTTCAGAAGAGAAACGGAAGCTGTTAGCTTGGTCATCTTCCGTTTCTAGACGAAGAACAAATGATACATTAGGTTTGCCGACATGCAGCGCTCTTTGACCTGCCTGAAAAAAAAGTGACGAAAACGTTGCTTTTACCCTTTCAGTTTATGAAGTTATTAGAAGCAAAAGAAAACAAACTTCAACGTCCAACCGTAACTCAGAAGACTTATAAGTGCCTTTTCCATAGGAGTCTACTATAATGCGAAGTAAAGTTCTACAATCCGGTTTGTCCAGAAGAAGATCGATGAAAGCGCTAATCTTATTATGAAACTTCTCTTCTTTTGCCCAACATAGTAGTATATCATTGAACCTCACACGGGCCTAGAAAAGAGTATGAGTATATATTCTAAACGAGAGCGAACTCGGCTTCCTTCCTGGATGATATTAATGCATATATGAGCAAGAGATAATAGAGTTCTCTGCACTGTTTGAACATCATAACCAGCTTTCTCTGTAGTGAATAGAAAACAGAATCAGCGGAAAATTGTAAAATTACTTGAAACGGTAGCTATTTTCAAGGATTGTTCGGAGAGAAGGCGCTCAAGCAGCTGCTCGAGAAAGGAAAAGCAAAAATCTGCAAGTATTCTTATCCGTCGATTTCGTCTTATAAGCAATATCACCTTGGTCTTCTAACGTTCTTATCCATTCAAAATCTTTCAACGAGGACTCGACGAAGCTATCAAAAACCGACATTTGGAGAGTAACTGTGGAACTCACAGTGAAAAGTTCAAATTAACATAACGCGCAAGAAACTGATACGCGACGCATGGAACCGCGTGCTCCAAACACAAAAAGTCCGTGACCATCAAAATGGTGAAAACACTTGAACAACTTAACAAAATTTCAAGGAGTAGAGCTGAACGCTCGAACGGGAACTGAAAAATTCAGAAAAAAATTTATTATAAGCTTCTATCTTACTTCCGATTGTGTTCTACTTTAATTCAGTCAAGTAGATTTCCTCTTTTTCTTTTACTACAAAATATCTGTCGTTCTGTATGGAAGTTGGCTTGTCACATATTCTGAAATAGTTGGTAAATGTTTTTGAGTGAAAGAAGAGTGAACCTGCTACAAGAGACAGGAGTATCATCCCGCCAAGGTCTATAAGGTTATCAAAATAGCTACAACACCCGTTTATCAGTAGAAAAAATTTATTTCACATCAAATAATGCGTAAAAAGCAACACAACAACAATTACCATGAGCAAGCGTTTAGATCTGGTAATCAAAAGCAATTCAAAACCGAGAAGTTTCACTTCTTCGCCTTCTTCTTCTTGTCAGCCGTTCCTTTTCCCGGAGTTTTTCGCTTCCGGCCACTCTCTTTATCTGTATCCATGACAGAAAAGTCATAGCTGTCTTCGGCTACAGGTTCAGAACCCTTACGTCCATTGGACAATTCTGAAAAATATGTAAATGAATAATACCAAGGAATAAACTACCTGGATAACTTTCTTCGTTATCATCTATTTCAATGAGCTCTTCTTCTTCTTCTTCTTCATCATCATCATCCTCATCTTCCTCTTCATCGATGACTTCATCCATGTCAGGATCATGAACATCGTCGTCTTGGTCATCGCCTTCGTCTTCTGCTTCTGGCTCAATGATCAGCTCACCTCTGTCAGCTGAAAACAAAACTGTACTCAATGAGTTGGAATAACATGGATCTTCTCAAAATGAATAAATCAATAAGAAGCACCCTTTAAACCAGTGTTTTTTCGCTGGCTATTGTCCGCTAATACATAGCAAGATCCATCGATACAATAATCTTCGATTTCGAGAACATCAGCCAATGGAGCTCTTGGTCCATCAATTGGGGGGAAGTCAGAATCGAAACCATAAGAACGATTAACGAACACCATCCTTTAAAATGGGATTTGAAGAAGAAAGAAAGAGGAAGAGGAAAACTGCCAAGAGCAGAAGGTTGGCGACAATTTCGGGAAGGCTTAATAAATAATTAGGAATAATCACAGTTAAATGAGAAAACGAGCAGAAAACATTTGCTAGAAGACGTGCGGACCTCTCATCGGAATTCCTACTGGAGTAGACTATAACTTTCAGAAAAGCTATATCCAATTTCATGAAGAACAGTTGTGTTTTCGGCGAAAAAAATGAAAGAAAACCAATGTCAAAGTTTGAAGCGATAATGTTGAAGAAAAGGAGATGGACATGAGTGACATATACACATAAACGTATTGTTTGTTGGCTGGATTCCATATTCTTGCGAGTAAATAAAATTCAGAAGCGTTTACTTCAATACAAGTTAGTACCCAGAAGGCGTCTGAGGAACTCGAGATGATTGGACAGCATTGAATTAAAAAAATTACTCGAGAAAGACTACTTCACAGAGTGCGGAAAACTTAATAAACACCAGCAGCTAGGAATGAAAGTAGAAAACCTATTCATTTGTTGTTGTAGCAGGAAGTGCAGAGGTCTCAAAAGCACGGTTAATTTGGTTTGGAAGTATGAATTCCGAAATAACTTCTCTGGAATGTCGTAACCAAATAAGGAAAGAACAAACAACCACCTATTTCTTTGTAGTGCACGAAAAAAAACATGAAAAATCGCTTGCGAGAAATAGCTCAAAAAGCCCCCATGGATTCGCTCCTGCTGATGTTCATTGGATTTTATGCGAAAAAAAAAGACAAAACGGCTATGCAACTTGAGAAAAGAAAGAATGAAAAAATGAAAAACGTGCATGTGAACATGATGTATAAGTATGCTAAAGATGGATGATCGGCATGAACAGCAACTAAACAGAAAGAATATGTGACAACCACTGGACCCAATGGGACCTGATGACAACATTCGAGGCTGTTATCGAAAGAATTAGTTTCATTATGTCCTTAATTATAGCTTCGAAACGAATAAGTAGAAGGAAGATGTTGAAACTCTGCGAAAAACTCGAAACGAAATCGTTAGAAGCTGGGGTTGTGGTTGCATGTCGAGGAAAAAACAGCTCGACTTATATAGAATGTGGAAGAATTAGATGGCATGATCCATTCTTCAACTTTCGGATTTTATCTACAATCTCCTATTACTCTCCAAGCTCCCATTTCTAGGAAAGCAGAGCTCAGAAGGAAGAAAAATAAGATTACCACACTGAGGTTTCACTCGCAATTCAATGAAGATGAAGTTGTTTAGTTGTAACTTCACAAGCATGCTAAGTACATCTTGTCAGAACTAGAATCGGCGATACACCCTTAGTTCGCATAGAAGGAAGTCCCTCTCATGATTAAAATATGGGCTTCATACACGATAATTCGTTCTTAAGTGGTGGAGTTCACCAACATCAAAAAAAGTACAAAAACTTGTACTGATAGGTACTTTGGAATAAGCGATTAGCAATCGACTCAGGTATGCTGGCAAGGTTCAATGGAAGAGCAGTTCTAACCTTTGGCTTTCTTTCTCAGAAAAAGTTTTCCATTCAGATGGTTGAGAAGAGTTTGTCGATCGCGACTCAAAACTCTGCGTGTGTATTTACAGCCCAATAAGTTTTTACTGAAAATAGAAGCAAATAACTTGCTCGCGATAATTATCTCACTTCAATTCTTCAAAAACATCAGGGTTCTCCATCAGAATCTGGTGAACATCGTAAGCAGATTGGAACTTGGGTGACTTGATATATTCCTGCAAAGCGTATCCTTCATTGGCAATCAAGGAAACTGTTTCACTTACTTCCAGAGCACTTACAGTGGGTTTCAACTCATGTCCTGTGAGTACGCACCTCACCTGAAAATTACAAAACTAAATGATCCCACTGACATCATTTTACTATGCACAAATAGAGCTTCGCTATGTTATCTTTGTCTCATTTCGCAAGGAATAACTAAACTACTAACCTTATCATAAGGGCATTCGATGAAGACGCCATATTTCTTCAATAACTGATTTACTTTTCCGCTCTCAGCAGCCATCTAGGAGTAACTGCAAGAAACCAAGTTTATCTAACACGAACACGAATGCAAATGAAACTATTGAGTAAAAGAAACAGCGACTGCTTCAACAATCGAAAAGAATATTGCGAGATGATCAATGCATAAACCTTCTTTTTCAAGAGTCTAATGTTTTGCTTAAAAAGGAATATAATCAGTTACCGAATAAACGGAAAGCCTACACAGTTCTTCAAAGAAATTATAACTCTTTTATTCATAAACGGATGCGTTTGCACATTCATTATAGTATCAAACATTATTCCACAACCAATCGTTCACTATTATATATATAGATATATATATTATTTCAAAGTTCTATTTTTCTTTTCGGTGGGGAGAACCCAAAGTATGAGGAAGGCCGCAAGTTCGCGGAAGTATCCCTCTCTCTTTTAACAATATGAGAGAAAGTTGATACGCAATTGCCAATGAAATGGTCTGATAGAGCAAGTACGGCCAGACTGACATAGGGATCATCGCTTGGCAACTTATAAGCTTTCACCTAAACTTATTCATTCATATACAACCTCCTAGCAAGCAACAAACTTCGTATGCTTTCAAAGCCTGGTTTATATCGTCGAGCATATGATCTTTATCACTTGCAACAAACACAGATTTAGCTCCTATACTACCAACAGCATCTGTGATCTATCAAATACACCATTATCACCTTACGAGAATGTTAAACTCACTGCATTCAAAACTACTTCTGTCGACGGTGAACATATACTCTTTGTTATTTGCCCCATGTGATGACGTTCGCCGAGGCACTGTGCGGAAGCAAAAAGTGGGTTGTTTTTGGTAGAATCAATGTGCTCACAAACAGAAGCCTGTGCAATGTATAGTATATATGAGCGTGGAAAATGATATACCCAATCTCTCTCATTCCTTAGATGTACGCCAATGAAAGGTTTTTGTAAATGGTCGGCAACATATTGCTTAGCCATGCCTAATACTCGTGAGCCCCATCGGAGATACCTCAATATCAAACTGCATGTTATTGAAAATAATTTCTCTTACTTTTGAAGCTCCCAAACCCTACGGTTCGAAGGAAAAGATGCTGGTGCAGAAGAGAAAGCTAACACAGGATATAACGAAGAGTTGAACCTCAAAATAGATAGTCAGATAACATGTTAGCCCTTCAAAGGTACCTATTCAGCCATTCAGTACGCGACCCTTTAACATCCATTTCATAAGCTCCTGGGATATTACCATAGTATTCATCTCCCACAAAATCGATATTCAGTTTATCCCAGTATGGTCCGAACGGGCTACCCTCCTGGTAAAAAATAAGATTAAACATAATAAAATAAGCAATCCAACTTTCGCATGACATCCAATTTGACTGTCAGGTGTGAACAAAGAAGTTCTGGGTGACCAACACAATGCTGAAAAAATTATAAAAGCCAAGATATTTCGAATTACCTTTACGACTCTCCTTGGGCCAAACCTCGGGAGCGACATTCTTGAGAAAATCACTCATAGTTATAACTTTCTGGTATTGCTTAATCCTATTCAGTTGGAACATATACTCAAAAGGTATGAACTTCTGAAACGAAATCTTAATCTACCACCACGAAAAAAACTAAACAGTTGTTGCACCGTGGTATTCGATGAAATTGGGAAGAACCAAGGTTCTATCCAAGTTTTTAGTAAACTGCATTACCCCTAGAAGTTGATCTACTTGGTTACCGAAGCGTCCTAGAAAATAAGTTTGAAATTAAGTTAGCTATTCAAATAACTCACCCATACATGGACAGAAAACTAGATAACCCTTCGGATCAATTGAAGTTGAAAATGGGATAAATAGGATCAAAACAAGCAAACTCATCCTTCACAACATATAAAATATGATAAGCAAATGGTTCTCTATCGTCATTAAACACTCGCAACTGATAAGAAAATTTTATAATACATAGAACTTTGTTTTGAATAATTACAAGGTAGAACCCAATAACTCTCTATCCCATGGCAATTATTTAAGAATTTTATAAATTAACGCATTCACAAGAACCTGTACTTATAGTACTATGAGGAGAAACACAAGGAAAAATAGAATTATACTTAAAACTATAATGGCCTTCCACTGCTTCTTATCTGAAACTTCATATTCGTGCAACACTTTTACAATCATTACCGTCATCTAGATGTGCAAGCTTGGCTATTTTCTTCATTACTCCATCTAACTTGGTATCAACTCTATCCATATCCTGCCCCAAATCATCCAGCATTCTACAAGGCAACAATTTCTAATGTTACTTATTCGGTGGAAAACCCACATAGCTTGCTGATCTAACTCATCTCCAATTCTATAACTCATGTGCTTTAATGTTTTTACTGAATGTCCCACTACTTCTAGATCATCATCTTGATCCCGAAGTATTTGCTGTATATGAATATCGGAAGATGTATGACTCATTCAAAACTTCTCACCTGTTGCTTCAAAAGAATATCTTCAAATCTTCCGGTATTCGCGCCTGAAGAAGAAGATGCTTCATCTTCCAAATCTTGATCATTCAATAAAGAGTACTTATAAGAACCAGAACCAGAAGCCATTGATGATAGCACACGGATCTGAAACAGATGAGCTAATCCCTATAACTTTTCGATCAATTCTAACCGATTCGGATGAGGGTATTGGAGTTCTTAAAACGTTCAAGCGTATATCGTCAGCGAAAGCTTTAGCTGACAAAAGTAGATTTGATCTTATAACCTTTTCCTCGTAAGTCAGCTGAAACTTGGAAGTATCAAGAGAGAGGACAGAAAGAGTATGCCTAAAAAATCTCATTATATTCAGAATCAAGATATCTCTTACTGATAATCTTCAACTGCCCAATAAAGAGCTCTAACCGACTTCTTCAATTCAGATTCTATCCACTGTCGTTCGTGTCTGCTGAGACCTTAAAAAAAAATTATAAATGGCGATATATTAATGAGAAAGAACCCGTTTGATTAAGTCTCTGAGAGAGACGAGTAGTATTGGCGAGACACTTTTCTAACTCGCTAGAAAAAAAATATTTTCAAGAAAAAATGCCATAAAGCAGTTTCTCTAGCAGACATTCAACCTACTCTTGGATATCAGAAGTTGGATCTACTGTTTTTCTACCTCCCATGGATGCCAAATAACTAAGAGTAGAAAGAGTCAAAGAAAAAAAATGACGAGAACTAGTGATTAATTAAAATTCATAACTGAGCTAGGCGACCAAAAGAAAATTCAATTATCTTCGCGAAATAAAGAATTCGTGGAAATAATGGAAGGACATTCTGTGAAGCAGAAAGTTTAGAACAGAAAGTAAGAAAACACTCTAGATGAGTCGATTCAACGAAAAAGTTAGTGCTTAACTGCTCTTGATGCTTTTTTCAATCAAAAACGGGTAGACCCTATAATGGGAATAGAAGAGATAAATGAGCTTTTTCAGAGAAGAAACGAAGCTGTAGTGTGGTTGGTTTATACTAATGAAGAAAGGGGAAGTGGGCATGTTTTGTGCGAGCACTAATTTACTTAATCTGATGCTTAGTTCAAAAAATGAAGGCGAATAAACTTTGCCAGCCGGCACATAAGCCTAAACCCACCCTCCCCCCTTTCTTCGAATGGCGAAAAGAGGCATGTTGGATGCCGGATAGTACGCCAAGCTCTATTTGAAACTAAAGTTCGAATCATCCAAGATGGCGGATACCCGACATATCATGTCACGATATTACAAGATTTTATGCTCAGGGGATAAGAATAAGAAGAGAAGGTTGAATGTCATTTTATATGCAAAGCGAAGCATGTATGTAAGAAAATTCTTTTTTCAATTCAAGCAAAGTTCTAACATTGATAACTTACGCTACTTCTCCCCTTCCCTAATTTATTGAGAAGTGAATCAAACAATATATTTGAATATATACAAGCTCTTGGTATCAAACTGCAAACTGAAAGAGAGAAAATGACGCTTCCATCAGTGTTCGAAGTATCATACATTACTGGATAATTTAAAAGCTTCTAACAAAAATGACGTAACATTTCTTGAAGATAACGTTTTCGGAAAAAAACCACAAATCGCAATTATCAGAGAAGTACGCAATTGCGTATACGAACCTGAAATGCCACGACCAAAAGAATAAAACCATTAATTCCCTTCTATGCATATGCATAACAACTTTTTCGGCTCTATGATTCAGTCTACATTGATGCTTTTTAATTATATAGAATGATATTCTCTTTGTTTGAATCAGTTATTCCTGCAACGAAAACGAATCATCTTGAACTACTTCATTTCATGTCTTCAAGCAAATAATTTTACTAAGTGTCAGTATGAGTTTATATACAAATATATATTTATATATAGAAGTTATACTCATTTATTAGTTGTATATGTACAAAACCTATAACTTGCTTCTCTCACCAGCCATAAGCGGTTTTAAGTATCTTTCGAAATTAGGATTTCTCTGAAAAGATCGATTGAAACACTATTGAAATAGATAAGACTCACTCCTCTGTTGTATTCGTTCAGTGGACTTTGTTGAGCCCATTTATAGAGATTTTCATAAACGTGACCATCTCTTCTTCCTATCACCTGAAAGATAAAGAGTATTCCAAGTTCAAAAGACTCTTCTTACTGATCTTAGTTCCCGATCAGTGAATTCAAAAGAGTCTACAATAGATATTGCATTAGGTCTCAGAATAGCATATAAGTTGTATAGATTCTCCTTCAAGTGCTTTACTTGGCCATCACTCATGTAGTTGTTCTATAAGCATTTGGTACAAATATTCCTCTGGTCAGTGGAAAAACCGTAAGGAGGTTCTGAGATTGTTCGAGCAGTTCGTGGTTCAGATATAATTTGAACAGAACTTCCACCACATCGCGGGTATTCTTATCGTGAATAATATCTAGGTTCTTTTTGAAAGCATGGGCGATAAAAACTATAGCGTGAGAGCGAGAAGCCTAAACAAATAGGGTTTCGAGATAGCTTATCAGCTCTTACTTTGCATAATTCTATTCCGTTAGCGTTCCATGCTTCTTCAGCACTCATTCCAGAACGCAGAAGATGTTGGAGCCGATCATAGGCATTGAACACTCTTGTTCTAGCGATGTATTCGAAATCCAACAAATAATGTGACCCATCTAATAAAATATGATACTGTTGATGTTAAACAAGTACTCGCAAACCTCCTTCGGGAATTCTATCAACCAAGGAATGCTTATTGGATTTATTCAGATAGGCCATAGTAGCACTGACCGGCTCACCATTTCTGACTAGCTGTGCAGATCGCATGAGGAATCTTAAAAAAACACCTCTTTGATTACTCTTATAGAGCTGATGATTATCACCTGGCTGTCTGTAAGAGCATCACGATGTTCTCGCCTTCATACGTACAGGCACCAGCTTCGCAAGCTGGCAAAATAACTATGAGAAGCGTAAATATTCGAATGTTCACCATATAGGGTTGGCAGGTTGCTTGCATCAGAATATCCATGTCCTCCACAAGCCATTCTGCATTGCTCGATAGCTAAAGTAGACTGGAAGGTTGCTACAGCTTTCAAACAGCATGATAATCCATGAACGTCAGCCAACGAGTTGACCTGAAGCTTAAATATCAAACAACTTCATAAATTTTGCTGTTGCACCTCTCCTTTTTTCACACTTTCTAAAACAGATGTTGTGAAGTTCCTGATTTCATGACCAGCAAAGTGGAAGGCGAATGTTCGAGCAATTTGAGGGAACAAGCGATGTTGCTGTGTTTGATAGTCGAGAATCTTCACTTCTCCAGCGCTGAAAAGTTTCAAAAATTATTTTACGATTGGAGACATTTTAAAGAGAGAGGCAAAATTTAAAAAAAAACTAACCCTGGAGTTATTTCTCCTTGTCTTCTAACACAACCATATCTAACAGCGATAGTAAGAGCAGCCATCAAATGGATCGAAGCATGATTTACAACTTCCGATCTCATATACACCATGGTAGTATAACCAATTTTTGCATTAGCGGGTTTAACATAAGTTCCATCAACCTCAACCTGGAATAAGTCATGAGTGTAATTTCGTCCCTTCTTTGAGGAACACGAACAGTTCCATTGTAAAATTTAGGAAATGATCTTACCTTGCTGTGCTTCATTAACATGTTTCTTCGTGGAATACGAACATTGTCGAAACCCAGATATCCATTATCTATACCTTTAACACCCATCTTAGATCCAATGTCTCCAACTCTAACGCCTTAACATGAAGATTTTAAAGAAATCTATAAGAAATGGGTTACCAGGAATAGGTTGATGAGTTTTCGTATCACGAATTTGAACGAAGAAATTATGCGGTCCATAATTATGAGCATCAATTATAAGATTAGCAACCAAAATTACATGATTACATGTAACTCCAAGCCCGCCAGGCCACCTAAACAAAATCAAGTTATAAAGATAGTCAAGACATGTTCTACCATTTCAAAGAGGTGCTGGATGGACTATACAAAACGAATTCTTGTGTAGATTTATCGTACGTTGCACAGGTCTCAATTTTCTTCAGATTGGTTCCTTAAATTCAAATTTCACATTATGATTATCGCCTAATGCACTTGATGACTTTATCATATTGCTCTCAAAAAGTGAAAGTTTCTTATTCTCTCTTCATTTCGACATAAAACTTTCAATTTTCTAGAGCTCATGGAATCAAACACGTTTGTCTTTACTGTTATATTTTTGAAAGACAGAAGAGTGTGCGAATAACTTTGTTGAAATCATACCGTGTCCCATTTCAGTTTGAGCATATGTTCCTAGAATTTCTCCTTTCAAAGCTTTCCATAACCACCATTCTTGTTGCTCTTCATCGGCTTGATTTTGAATAGTTGGAACAAACATGAGTGTATGAAGACTCAATGGATATCCCTCAACTCCCATGACATCCCTAGAATTTTTAATAATGAGAAGTTGATTTTTCCTACAACCGACTCACCTTATAACTTGTAAAACTTCCGCTGGGTTCATGGGATCACAAATCTCGGGTAGTTTTTGAAACAGTTCTCTCATCTACGTATGAACATTGCAAAAAGAGGATCTCTTAATGTAGCAACCTTTCTGGTTTGTTCGTTGACTTTCTCAACTCTGTCCAGATGACCTAGTGAAGCAGCATCATTCAGTTCTGGATAGGATGTAATTTTTTCAGAAATATAGCGGTATTTCTCCAAAGCCTATATCAGATGGTTGAACAAGTAAGTGAAAAAATAAATACCCTCTTGCCTCCACGAAGAGTTGCAGCCAGCTCATCTGTGTCGAAGGTGGCTCGAAGCCGTTCTTCCGTCAACTCTGGATTGTCACCTTGGGAGAGCTTTTTATTGAAAGGCATGCTGTAAAAAAAGCTGTAAGAAGGTGCAGCATAAATTAAAATTTATGAGAGACTCTCGTTTATAACAGACTATAAAATAATCAAAGACGGATATCCCGCCTTTCAAATTGATAAAGAAGCAATTGGCGAGCACAATGACATTCTTTTGAATTTTATTCAATATAAGATAAGAGGGCAATAAGTCAACGCATACACGATGGGAAATCAAGGAAGATTATTAAGATTACGTCATGATAACTTCGTGAAAAAAAGGAAAATGAAAAGACATTGTTCATCGTGAGAAGAAGAAAGGAAGCTTGAGCAAGCTACGGATTAGCTGATAACGACTGAATTGGGTTTTAATCATTCCTATCACCTAACTTTTCTCAATCTTCTAAATTTACACACTAAACTGTCAGTTGTTATCATCAGCCAAAAACCGATTCCGCTTTTTATTATTTACATATTCTTACCTCTTGAGATTCGAAAGAGCCTACAGTTCTCATCCTGGGGAACAAACTCATCTCCCAACGCTGATCAGCTTCTGAATCATTCAAATGTAAAGAATATTTATCAGACCATCTACCGACAAGTCATTCCGTTGAATTGTGGTAAAGTTACTTTCATCTCACATATCTCAGAAATCCCAGCTGTTTTTTTGGTCCGTGTTAACCATTACTTCAGAGGTACGGGATCTTTGGACAGTACTTTGATCTCTCAGCAGTCCTTCAAAACTATCTTTATCGAGAATTGTTGCATTCTCTGCAAGTCTTATCAAATGATATTCACATGGCAAATACCAGGCATTCGAACCCTGTTCGTTGGACGTTTTTGAGAAATAGGTTTCGGCTTGCCGACATATTCCTTTGTTGAAAAGGTGAGAAGACGACTTTTCAAGCTGCTTTCCTTGAAAATCAAAAACCCCGGTAGCATGAAGGGGAGGGATGACTTTTCAACATAAGTCATACATGGAAACGATCAGGTTGTCTTGTCAATGGAAACATACCCCATTCCTCTCTTTACTGTCTTTGTCATAGAACTTTTGAAACCATCAAAAGATGCAGAACCTTCATTCAAATAAGAATAAGGATAGAGATTTAAGATTCTCCGACCTACTAAAGGCAGCAGATGGACCAATTTGACCTTAATAATACCTCATGAGATGTCTCAAAAAGCTGATAAGAATCTGAAAATCCAAACAACAAGAGGAATACCGATAACATAAAGAAAACCAACGGTGATTACAAACAACATTTATTATGAGAAGTGCGGCAAAATAAAAATTAATTGCTTAATCCATATTAAAATATGACTTGGCCAGTCAATGATTACAATTGTGCAGAACTACTCAAATCTGTGCATTTACAAAATAACACACTTTGAGATCATGAGCTGTTTCGCATTAAACTAAACATTTGAGGCTTGAGAAGCATAAGGCAAGAAGCCAAATTCTGAGAAATAACTTTAGTCTAGCTGAGTTTTCGCGATTCCTACTCTGTAGGGTTACTGTAGGTAGTGGGCATTACAAAAAAAAGCAAATTACTCTTGTCAGAGTTCGGATTTATCCATGTCGGATAAGTAACGTTATAAGGAGCCTAAGTGGGTACAAAAACCATTGATACGATCAGGAAAAATGGGATAACAACTATTGGTACGAGGTACATAGCTTGAAAATACTATATGAGGCTGGGGTGAGGATGTGTGTACATTTACAGATATGCTAACAAGGGAGCTTTGGTTCACAATAGTTCCAAAATGATTTCTAAAATTTATTTTATCCTTCTTGCCGCGACGTTCTCACTTTATCGTTGTATGGCAAAGAAGGGTTTATTATAGCATAGATAGTAAACAATACATAAAAAAAAGTCAGACCTAAACCGGGGACAGCAAGATCGTGTCAGCATAATAAAACTATAAAATACAATATACGATAATATGCGCATGGTATAAGGTTGACACCGGAGCCAACAGGACTAGCATACCCAATTCGAAGAACTTTAACTTTAAAGATTACTTCCCATGTCTCCCCAGTCGGCTCCACAAAAAAGATCTTGTAAAGCCACATCAGATGAAGGATATTGGTAAGGATCCTCCTGCAACCAGAACAGTATACCTCAGCAGTGTTAAAATAATGTCTACCTCTTGTAGTTCGGGCTCTAAGGAAAGAAAGGATCCTGGAGGAGCATCTAAATCACCGAACGACGGTGCCGACAAAAAAGCTGAAGGATCTGCTAACATCTACAGAAAAAGTATTATAGAAAAGAATGATGGTACAATACCTTTAAAGGACTCATGAATATGTTTGGACTTTGAAGATGAGGCAAAAATTTTCCGGGTGTTATTAATTCGCTATCCTGATGCTGAGTTTGCATTGAAGTAGAAGGCACTACGACCTCTTCTTGATTATTATGAGAAATTTGATGATTATGACTAATGCTCCTTTGTTCAGCATTCATGCCTTCTTCTCTCGTTTCTTCATTTTCTACCTTGATGGTTGCTGTGGCCTCAACAGGGTGTATTGGGAATATACCTACAGCTAAAACAATAGCATATTTCATATTATTTCTGTATTATTGAAACCTTCATCTCCGTTGCCAGTTACTTGATTGGCCACCATGGAGTCCGAAGGACACAACAAGGCTTGAAGAACCTGATTCATATCGTTCTTGATCATAAGCTGGTATTTTCCTGTCATCAGAGGATCAGACACCTGTAAGACATTAAATTAGTGAAGATTCTGCTAACCCATACCTCAATGTATGAATAAGATTCTTGAGGTGCTTTAATCGCTATTAATGTTTGGTTAACGAATTGTTGAACAGATCGTAAATCCGAGAATCGGACATAACTGGAAACTGACTATATAACAGGAAACAAGCTGAACCTACCTATATGGTTTATCGGTGGGATCTTCCTTGGCCAATTTTAAGGCGGCTGAGATATCGTGAATCAAACTGTCTAGGCGCTCCTCTTCTTTTTGCATTCTAATACATTCATTCCAAGCAGCTTTCATATCACCTTCATCACAATGAGGAGTTCTGAAGCCTCGAGATTATGAAAGATGAGAGGGATGCTACAGACTTCCATCGAATACTGTTCTTCCCAACTTTTTCAACCAAGTCGATCCCCTCGAGAACATTAGTTATATCATACAATCTTCGTTTCGGCACTAGTAGCTGCTGAGCTGCATCGTTCAAGTTCAAAACCTGGAACGTTAACTTGAGATACTTCTCTCTGAGTTGCTTACCTCATACTGATCTTTCAAAGACAGAAACTTCTTAGTGGTCATCAGAAGCGAGTTATCCAGCCGAGATCCCGAAGTAGGAACTTAAAAGAAGTAATTCAATAAGAGAGAACAATATATGGAAACTTATCGTACCAATACGAACTGGAAAATTATTATTTTGCGGATTAATTTTCCTTTTGCGGGAATTATTGTTAACATTGAATGTTGTGTAAGAAATGTTTTCGTTTTGTTGTGGGGAGTAAATGTTTTCATCAGGGAAAAAATTTGCTTCTACCTCCGAAATCGAAGGTTTAGCTTCAATCGTTTCCTCATTAGATAAATTGGAAAAAAGAGAAATTTCAGAAGGAACATAGTATTCCATAAGTGGAGATTCTTATGAGTTTAGTGAATAGTAGTCCAAATTTTCAAGTTAAGTAGGGGTTACAGGGATGAGGACCACTTCGAATGATGACCACTGGGTATGATACACCAACGCCCCAAAGATGATGACTTAAGACTAACCAAAAACAACTAGAGGTCATAGGATTTGTGAGGGCAAAATGTCACTTTGACACTCCACTAACGAATCGATAATTGGCAGATATTTCTTTTATGATCTGTTTAATAACAGTATAAACACTAACCTGATGTTTCGGGGAAAGGATTAGGAGTGACTGCCCCGTTCGCTTTTCTTTTACCATTGCGAACTGAATAAGCAAGAATTATGGCTGTTGCACATCTCAGATATACCTTTTGGTTTATTTTCAGGCTTGGGGTATATACTCATATAAGGACTTATTTGACCGTGATTGTTCAAATTATTAACCATATTATCGATGTTAGATTGAGCAGATAAACTCTCTAAATCTAGCTTTCTTCTAGCCTAAAAGCTAAGTATCTTGATTTTCAATCATGTCGTTGTTACCTTCTCAGCCTTAATATTATTATTTCGAAAATACATAGCAGGAGCACTATCGGGAGTTTCGTTTAATAATCTCCAAGACTGCATATCCTCAGGAGTGCAACTGAAAAATTGTTTCATTCGTATCCTGATGAAAACTCTTACATTTCAACTTTAGGTACTGCCATTCCTAAAGACGCACCACCAATTTCAGGGCTTTTAGTACATTGTTGACTTTGGATGGAAGCTAATTGGATTTGACTCTAAAAATGAATAGGCTTCACCCAAATTATGAGCATATGTTATCAGAAGTTTCACAAATTAAAATGCAAATTTCTTATTTTTTCGAAAACTTACTGGATCTCCATAATTATAAACATCGAACAACTGATATCCTTGTGATTCCATTAATGAAGTTCAAACCAAACTACTTTGCCTAAAAACTAGCACTTCTAGAACATATTTCATAATATATTGTCGTTATAAAATGAATAATTTCTTTAATAATAAGCTAAAATCTGATATGCGCGAAATCTTGGTTTCAATTTCTAAACGAAAGATATTCCCGCCAAAAATCACTGAAAGAATTCTCCGCCCATCTTTGCGTACAAAGAGGATTTGCGCCGTTCGAACGAAAATAATGACAAATATTTATTCTTCATTTTTCCTTGCTAATTGAGTTAATTTAACACAGCTAACAACAAAGTAGTTGCTTGTAATTTGCGCTTAAAAGTTTCAACTCAAAACTATCCTTATGTAACACCAACATAAATAGTAAAATGCACGAATGTCAGAATGTGAGAGAGACAGTTACTTCAAGAATAACAAACTGAGATTGAGAAAAGATGATTGTGCGAGTTGATCAGAACAAAAGTCTTCTATTTGAAATGTGAAGCGGATACAGGAAAAGTAAAAAATGAAACTGATCTCTCGCAATCGGACGAACTAATCTGTAAATAAAATACATAACTCAACTTACTTTCTGGGGGAAGCTTAATGTTGAAGCTTTGTTTTGCTCCAATCATTTCAATCTCAAAATCTATCAGTCGAGAAAAGTACCTATCGAGAGAGAGCTTCTTCCAAATTGGTCAACCTCTTCTGAAAAATTTAGGGACTCTTAAGTAAGCGCTCTCGCTTTCCCGCCTCAGAGGTATCCCGCGCCCGCCACAATTTGAAGCACGCGCCAATTAATGAGATGCATGTATATTAATAGTTATATTAATGAGATAGCGTTAATAAAATGGAGATTCATACTGAAAAGATACATTGTAAAATTTTAAAATTTAGGTTTCCTCACTTGCGGTTAGCAATGGCAATCCTTAGAAGCTTGCAGAGTTACCGACAAGCGCTGGTTGGGAAAAACTATTTTGAGAAGTACAGTTCTTTATTGATAATGGTTTAGGGTAAAGAAATTCTGAAAAGATGCTCATCAACTGTCACTCAATCTAACAATATCGTTTTGCCTGGTGTTAGACCTGTCGAGAAAATTAGGAACATAGGTTTCACTACCTGCCCCATTCCCACTGTAAAAAATATTGATTAAGGAATTTCCGCTCACATTGATTCTGGAAAAACTACAGTCACAGAGAGGATTTTATTTTATGCTGGACGGATAGATTCTATGCATGAGGTATAAAATAACGTAAAAAGTACCTTTGAAGTTATGAAGGTGAGGGGGAAAGATGATGTTGGAGCTACAATGGATTTCATGGAATTAGAACGTCAGAGAGGAATCACTATTCAATCAGCAGCAACTTATGTGGATTGGCATGGAACAAACATCAATATAATTGATACACCTGGTAATTTCATTCTTCCTTGGCATTTTTTCTACTTTCGTTATGCTTCAGGTCATGTTGATTTCACTGTTGAAGTAGAACGTGCCCTTCGAGTGTTAGATGGAGCTGTTCTTGTTCTTTGTGGCGTAGGTGGTGTTCAATCTCAGACGTTCACTGTGAATAGGCAGTTAGCTAGGTTTGTTCATGCTTATGTTTTTCTAACGATTTTCGTTTTCAGATATAAAGTCCCTTTTATATGCTTTGTAAATAAGATGGACAGGACTGGAGCAACACCTTTCAAGGCCCTGGATGGCTTGCGTAATAAGTTAAATCACAATGCAGCTCTTATTCATCTTCCAATTGGAAAAGTATTATATCATTACTTATTTCTTCCAACATGTTTTTTGAGGACTCAGACTTTCATGGAATCGTTGACTTGATCAATGAACAAGCGATTTACTACGAAGGTGATGAAGGACTGATCATAAGAAGAGATGAAATCCCTAACGAGTTGCGAGTTCAAGCAAAAGATTTACGTCAGGAAATGATAGGTGACTTATTATCAGATGAATTCAGCTAATAATGTTAAATAGAACATATTGCCAATGGAGATGAAGAATTGGGAGAGATGTTCTTGAATGATTTGAATCCATCCATTGATCAAATTCATGCTGCCATTCGGAGATCAGTTGTTAAGGTTGGAGTGAACATTTTGTATGATTTTTAGAAGGAGATGTTCAGAGATCATTTGTTCCTGTTCTTTCTGGATCAGCGCTGAAGAACAAAGGTGTTCAAACTATGATTGATAGTGTTGTAAGCTATCTACCAAACCCAAGTGAAGTTCAAAATAGAGCTACTATCAAAGAGGCTGGGTATTGCTTTCCACTTTTTTCTCCGAGAATGTCGACTTTTTTTTTGTAGAACTGATGAGGAGAAAACAATATTTTTATCTCACGAAAGATCCAATAAAGAACCGTTCGTTGGTCTCGCTTTCAAGTTGGAAGTACGTTTTGTGATTTCAGCTTCATATTCTAGCTTCTCTTATTTCAGGCAGGAAAATATGGACAACTCACTTACTTCCGCATTTACCAAGGACAGTTAAGCAAAGGAGACACTGTATACGCGTCAAGAGATGGAAGGAAAGTTAGAGTTCAGCGTTTAGTTAGAATGCACGCAGCCGATATGGAGGTTTGAAAATATCGTTAGAATAGAGTATCGTAATCTTAGGAAGTAACAACTGCTTATGCCGGCGACATTTGTGCCACTTTTGGTTTGGATTGCCATTCTGGTGAAACGTTCTGTTCGGATGCTGGACTTGCTCCTCATTGCGTACGATGAGTTAATTATGATAATGCCTAAGCTGAAGTTTAAGGAATCTATGCACATACCAGAGCCTGTGATTTCTATGTCCATCAAACCCGTGAACCGAAAAGATGCCGATAACTTCATCAAAGCTTTAACGCGGTTTACAAAGGAAGATCCCACATTTAGAAGAGAATATAACCAGGAAGCGAAGGAAACCATTGTTTCAGGCATGGGCGAATTACATTTGGTATTTTTTATTTTGTCTCCTACTATTGAATTATATTTGATCCCCTTAGGAAATTTATGCACAGCGCATGAAAAATGAGTTTAATTGTCCTGTTGAATTGGGCAAACCTACAGTAGCTTACAGAGAGAGTCTAGCTAGTCCATATCTGTGAGTATTAAATATTTCGTAGATGCTTCACTATTCTTATTTTCCAGGTTTCATTTCCGTCATAAAAAACAAACTGGAGGACAGGGACAGTTTGGTGAAATTGAAGGTGTCATTGATAACTTGCCACCTGAGAGGTGTTTCATTCTGAAAGCATAATATATCCATAACTTTTTAAGAAACACTGTTGTGGAATTCACAGACGAAACATTTGGTAACAACATTCCCAAGAATCTGTTTCCTGCTTTGAAAAAGGTATAAGTGAAGCATGTTGTTGATTCTTATTTGTTATATGTAGGGACTGGATTTGATAGTTGCTGAAGGACCCTTAATTCATTCACGTATTGCTGGTATAAACGTACGCATCAAAGATGGTGCAACCCATGCTGTTGACTCGACAGAAATAGCTATGATTAATACTATGCAAAACATGATGCGAGAATGTGAGACTGATGATACTTTTCAGACATTTCACATATCCTTTTTAGCCTTTGAGAAAGCAAACTGGATTTTACTAGAACCCATAATGAAAGTTGAAGTAACGACACCCTCAGAATTTCAAGGCAACGTGGTAACTTCTCTTACGCAAAGAAATGCATTGATTACATCAACTGATTCAAATGATGGATATACCAGTGTTCTCTGCGAGGTTCTGCACTACTATAGATTTGTAGAATAACGAGTTCATGTTCAGGCACCTTTATCTGATATGTTTGGTTACACTTCGCAGTTACGATCTTTGACCGAAGGAAAAGGAGAGTTTTCTATGGAATATTCGAGGTGTGTAAGTTCATAAATCAAGTAACAATCTTTATAAATTAGATATGCGCCAACCACTAAAGAGGCTCAGGATTTGGTTGTGAGAGATTGGCAAATAGCAAACGGATTGATAGATCCGAACGCTGATAAAAAGAAGAAAAAGAAGTGAAAAATACCAATATATTCAACTGACTATTTCAAGAACTCTTTTCATTCGTGAAGATGATACTCACATTTAGCAGAAATAGAAATAATAGGTTAATATAGAATAATTAGTTACTCTTAGTTTTGTTTGTTGTTATTGATGATTGTTTGTTTGCAACCTGTTTTTACAGGCAATACAGTTGTTTTTACAAAAATTAATTGCATACATGCTTAGCTCACTGCTATTCTTGGAAGTGTGCCAGCAAACGCCGTTTACAATCTTATATTATTTGAAACTGTAACTGAATCACAATGCTTCGGGATCACCAGGACCTCGCCAGTCTACAAGAAAATCAGGAAGGAATGAAAAAATAATAAAACAACCCAAAAGTCAAAGTCAATTGATATATTCACTAGTCTGTGTCCAGCGCATAAACGTTTGCAGTATGCATGTAGTCACGCCCCGTGCACAAAACTGAATTGGCTTCGATCCAAGTTTCAGTGGCACGGAACATCCACGATCCGTGAATTAACTGATGGAACTATCTGACTACCGGATACATAACATATAGATTTCCGAGAAGGAGTATAACATAGTTATTATGAAA